GACGCGGAGCGCCCTGGAAGGCGCGGGGTCAGCCCTGCCGCCCTGCCCCTGGAGCTGCAGAGTGCTCGGTGTCCCCGCGGGATCCCTGCTCAGCCCTTCTGGGGCCTTTGTGCCCTGTTCACTTGCGTCTTCCCCGCAGGCCTGGGGGCTGTAAAGATCACAGGTGCAAGGTGAAGGTAGGTTTTCCCTCCGTCGTTATCAGCATGCATTTATACGGAAGAAATAGATGCTTCCAAAAAGCATTCTCATTCAGTTGTTTTTTGCTTTTATTTCCCATCCTGTATTTAGCTATCAGCCATAAGAGTTTTGCAGTTATGAGGAATTTTCTATGCTGAGACTTCTCTTGCAAGTTCCTGCCCATGATAAATTTTGGCTTTGTGCTACAGGTGTTTTGGACATTTCTGCTTATGGTCTTGTTTTTTTCCTGCTATTACTCCCTGATTCCATCTCTCCTGGAGAAGCTCTAGAAAAGGTGTTCCCGTGATGTTTCTGTTAGGCCACATATTTTTATCAGATTTTATTTTCATTTTTACTTAGCCACACCACCATACCACAGGATAGTACCTAGAGTCTACAGTGATACAAGTATCGTGCCACCTATTACACACCATTTAACTAAGCTAGTCAGTTATTTCACTGTGTTTCTCTTAGAGAGTTTTTATATAGTGGTATTTTGTGGGTTTGGAGGATTTGAGGTTGTCATGGTTTTTAGTTTTGTTGCGTTAGAGACAAGTAAAAGAAGCTGATGTTGGTTTGTTGAGGACTGACTGTCTCAAAGCATTTGGTAACACACTTGAGAGTAACTGTACAAGATAAACACCAGGGAAAAAATACAAAGAATAAAAAAGATGCTAACACAAGGCGAAACCCTGTGCTCTTAGCGTAGCTATCCCTGTTTATACCCACTGAAAATCTGACCTGGAACCCGTATCATTTTAGATTAGCATTAGTTACAGATCCTGTGTGGTGGCAGGTATTAACAGATGACATAAGCACAGCAATTTATCTGGTTTGTGCTGCTTCACGTTGAATATTTGCAGCATCTTACAAAACGACATTCCTTTAACTTGCGTAGCATGAAGTAGGGCAGTGGAACGTATGCTGGATTGTATTTTAACTACAGTACAGCAAAAAACGAGCTTTAAATTCCTGCATAAATTCATTATGATCCTATTCTTCAAAGTATTATATTTTTTTGGTTTTTTACTGTTGTTTAATACCAAATAGCCACTGGAACTGCATATATCTTCCAGTTTGGAAAACAAAGCAAACAAAGACAGGTTTTAAAAAGCTTGATTACAGTTTATTTTTATTGCGTGTAATTTTCAATAAGACGGGTTTATTCTAACAGCTGTAATAAGCATGACAGATCTGAAAGCTGTTTCATGATTGCTGGGTCTCTTTCTTTGTCTCTGATGATGGAGGTGTCTTAATTACTGTTTGTTTTTGTAAATTTTAAGGATTAGTCATCCTTTGATGCCAGATGACTCAGTTGTACCATACATTTTCAAATCTTTGCATTCAAAAACTTCATGGAGTTGAGTTCTGATAGGAGATTTTGAAACACGCTGCTGCAGCCCATAGTTAATCTTTCAGCAAAAGCATTCTTCTATGTCACGGCCAGTTCTTAATCTGTTTATATGGGGATCTGATAGTTTTGGAAGATACCTTTTAATGTGGACACTTCAGCTATTGCATCTGTCTCTCTGCGACTTTTGTTTGCTGGGTAAATGCAAATCGTCTCCAGATCCTGTTGACAGAAGAGGTGGTGACCAAAATGTGGGTCTGAACTGGCTCCATGAAAGCAATGGCAGATCTCCCATTGAGTTTAATAAGGCCAGGATTTTGCTCTAGCTTCTGTTACTGTCATTCAGAGGTCCGTGGTAGTTTTGTGTCCGCAGAGCCAGAAGAGTGTTTCTGAGAACTGGGAATGTGATGTTTTTTCCAGCCACCACTCTCATTTTGTGACACTGTTGTTCCATTTTTGTGAGGGCCAGGGAATGATTTTCGTAGTGTGAAGATTGATTTGGAGCATTAAATCCCCACCAAACGCACAAGTAAACCATTACTAGGAGAGAGGAGAGTCTAGAGTAATTGTGGATGCTTTATTTGGTAGTAACTGGAGCTTTTGGTTGGATCAGACTTCACAGCTTTGCCATGTAACTTTTGTAGAGACAATCAGCCTCTTGTCCTACTCCCTCATCTATCTTATTTATAATGCATACCTGTACTGTCTAGTCTCCTTGTTTGCTGGGACAGCCACGTTGCAGCCCCCTTTTGTCAAATGGTAGCTAAATCATTAGTAGGAGTGAGAAGCCATTTCATTTCAGTGATTTCCATTTCAAGCAAATGATTATCACCTATTCATGCAGTGTTTAACACAATTGTAAACTAAGCATTGAATCCCTTACACGCTGTCTAGCACTCTCTTTGCCCACATTATGCCGTATTGCCTTGTGCAGCCATGACCATCATGCCTGTTACACTTAGTGCAAGCCTGTGCCCAGCATCCCACAACCCATTTCAGCACCCCTGCACAGAAGTGTTCCTACCCCTTGTGCCGTTCCTCCTCTCCTGGCTGCCAGTGCCAAGTTGGTCAGGATGTCCTTGTGTTCAGTATCCCACCCACCTCGACGCCCTTCTCTTCTGCATTGGTTTCCTTCAGATGTGAGACCTGCATGTAGCTGGAGCTTCCCCAGCATGCTCCTTCTTCCAACCTCACCTTGCACTCCACAGACTTTTTTTTTTTAAGGATGCCAGTGCTTTGGCCCAAAGTGGAGCAGTGCAGTTGGAAGCAGTTGGATGGACAGGAGACAAATAGCATACCTGTCAGCTATCCACAGTAAAGCCAAAGGCTGGATCCAGTTTGCTAGTGGTAGTTCCCTTGGACCTAAAAACAGTGCATGGGAAGTCCTGTAAAGAAGTCCCAGGTCATTGCAAGAAGTGAGTAGGATTGAGATAGCTGCTTTCTAAACTGATACTGAGATCCTGGTTCTGTAAAGAGTTGGGTGCTTCATGTTCAGAGAGGTCTGGAGACACCAATTTGTGAATTATAAAATGTAGTACAAACCAACCTAATGCCTTTACTGTTAGCCTTCAGCTTAAGAATAGTGGTCAACATGTACAGAAGATCATGCTAAAAGTGGCAGTCTGCAAGAACAACGACTGATTTGAATCCATATAGAAGTTTATTGTGATATATGTGAAAACTGAGTTGCTTAAAACTTCAAACCAAAATGAATGGGAAATTGTTTTATCTCTTGGGGGAAAAGAAAATTGTTTCAGAGTGCTGAACTTGAATAAACAAATAGTCTGCAATAAATAGTTACACGATGCACAATTAAGATAAAAGATGATTAGTATGCTAACATTCTATATGTGTTTGGCTACATTAAAAATAGAGGTATATAGTTATCTGTCTTCAGTTCTGAACTATATCTATGTTAATGTGTCTCAGTACATACCTCATCGTATTTTATAGGTGGCAAAAGTGGAATATGTTAGAAAAAAGCCAAAATTAAAAGAAGTTCTGGTGAGATTAGAAGAGCATATGGAATGCACCTGTACATCATCAAATACTAATTCAGATTATAGAGAAGAAGAAACTGGTATGTTTTCCTTTTTTTTTTTTTTTTTTTTTT